CCCCCCCCCCCCCCCCCCCCTCCCCCATACTGGCTTTTGAAATTTTGATTGTATAACCCTCGGGACTTTTTACTTCACTCCTCCACCAAAGCAAAGACTTGTTTTCACCACTGTGTTTTTCTGTACATCAAAAAAGATTATGCAAAATCAGCCAAGGTGAAGCCTGGCTTGGAGGTGGTGTGTGGAAAATGGGGGTACATTACACTTCAGAGCAGCTCTGAATCAGTCTCATTATAATTGCCAAATGGACATTGGCCTTGGCATATCATGTCCTCTCTGAATGCTCTGAGCCCCAAATTCTAGGCAAATAGAAAAAACCATGGATCCATTCATTGTCTATGCTGCTTATTCCTAGTAGAGTTGTGGGGGGTTGGAGCATATCCCAGCGGTCATGGGGTGAGGGTTGGTGCACCCTGGACAGGCTGCCAGTCCATGACAGGGCCACACAGAGACAAACAACCACATATGTACACTCACTCCTAGGGGCAATTTAGAGGCAATTTTAGAATCAATGGACATATTCAGAAACACATCTATTTATCAAGAAATTATTTTATAGAAAGTGTAGAAATAGAATGTGCTACATGACTACATGCATTAACATAACAGAGTGAATGAAAATATCTGTCCTTGAATAACCGGATCACTTTTACTAAAACTAAGTAGTAACAGAATGAATCAATGAGTAAATGAATAATGCTATGATAAACCATTTCATGTTCATGTTTGTATAATTGCATATAAAGGTTTTCTTCTATTAATTCCAAACATGTTTTATGATTTGACATTTGAACGATGCTGACAGTTTCTCATTTTTCAAAAAGAACGGTTTTGTAGACCAGTCTTAAACTATACATTTGGATTATTTCCAAACTGTTGAACTAATGCTGACATGTCTCTATGTGCATCGAAACAGTTGTTAGCGGCTGGTATAATTCCTCCTATCCAAAACTACTGACTGCAGAGGAAGATCCCTGTGAATTTATGCTACAGTAAAGTCAGATGAAGCTACTGTGTCAAGACGCTCCAGCAGTCTGAATGAGTTAAATCAAAATGTTACACTTCTCTTCGCTATCAAATACTGTCTTTGTGCTTCAGCTGTGATTGCAAGCTAACCTGCAGGGGACTGACAGAAGCAGAATTTGTTGCAAAGAACTGGGTTAGATATAGTCTTGAATCATTTAGCTTAGATTTCCCTTGGATTATTTTAGCTGAATGTTTCATTTTTTGTCCCCAAGCACTGGGGATATCCCCTGCCAACAAGGCATCACCATCGCATATGTCAATTTGCAAAGCGTGTTTTTATCTTTTTTTGTTTGTTTCTGACATCACTCTCCAAGCTAAAGTGATCTAAACACGTACAAATGTAGATGACACCTACCCCACTAATAACACAAAGTGACTTTGACAGTCCATGGGACACATGCATGCATAGCTACTTCTCTAAAGCCAGTTTTATACCTCCAGTAAAAGAGATCAAATGGACACATAATTTGTGGAAAAACTCAGTCCACTCTTTTAGTCTTTTTAAGAGGGCAAGTAGCATTTAGGCAATTGATTAACTGACCATCATCCAGTGTGAGCATCTCTCTTTGAGCAGAAGCATTCAGATGTGTGTTGATGGACATCAACAATAATCCTAAAGAAGGTTGTACCCATCAATCTGGGAAGGGTAATAAGGCCGGTGTGTGGGCTGCATGATTAAAAAAAGATTCTAATGTATAAAACGTCAGAAATGAAAGGTGATGTACTTTCTGTTTCTCATGAATGTACGTTTGTAAGGGTATACATCACGACAGACAAAACCAACCCAGAAGTTCATTTGTAGTGATGGAAATGAAAGAAGAGAGAGAAAGAGAAGTAGGAATGAAATGAGAGTAATGCTGCTCTGTGTATCGTAAAATATGGAATATTAATGCACCTGAAAGAAAACATGGAAGCATCCATCTATAGATAGCAGCATCTCCTGCATTAATAATGACATTAAAGCATTTCTTTACACCTTTATGGCTCACTGTTCTATCTCAGCCTAACACTTCTGCCACCACTTGTATCAAATAAAGCAGGCGGTAAATAAGTCTTGTTAAGATGATTACTAGAAACAACACACTTTGCTATTTTGAAACTGCCCTGCTCGCTGACTGCCTCCTGGGAGCCCTGCGCTCTTCTGCCATGGCCATACACATCTGTGCTTGAATAGCAACTCACCCTTGGAGATTCACACTGCAAGATGTGTATAGCAGCACATCATTATTTGTTGGGAACCTTGAAACTGAAAAAGAAAATCTGTACATGCGCATTGCAATATTTCTGATGCCCACCACAATATCACATAATACATATGAAAGAATTGCAACACTTTTGCTCAAATTTAATGTACTTTGAATATTGAAGATAAATAAGCGGGTAAGATAGTGTTTAATCAGATTTTTAAAATAATTGTAATAAGTGTAAATGAATTGAATTTTTGTGCAATCTTTTTAAACATCTTGTCCTTTTCATTTATGTTTTCAGCCAGTTAAGAGATTAAACTACAAGCTCAGAAGACTTGCAAAATAAGCTGGCAACAATTTGCATCACATGATTAGATGGGAAAAAGTTTTTAAAAAAACACTCTTTATGCTTGCAATCACGAAGAATACAGGAGGTCAGATTGAGCAAGTCTAATATATATCATTATCACTTTTAGGTGGTTAAAAAGTATACAGAAATCACAAATGTAGTAGCTCCATTTTTATCTGCTGTAACAGTGCAAATATAAAGCAGTCAGCTCATTGCTATTTATTTCTGGAGAACTTTATCAGTAATCAGTGGTGTAATATTGGAGGCGGCCAATGGTTGTTTATGGATGAGGCTCTTTCACAGTAAATATTTCTGATTAGCTTCCAGCCTCCACAAGGGCAAAGAATGTCCGACTGTGTACAGCATTCTGTTGAGGCTTTAGGCAAAGACAGTTTGGAAAGGGCAACAAGGGCACTAAACAAAGCTGCCCGCTTAAGACTGCATTCTTCCGATTGGGTTTTTTTTTTCACAGAAATAAAAAGTTATGGCAAAGTATTAAGTTCTTATAGCTTCTGAGGCAGTCTTCTCTCACGGTCTATTAAATGTGGCCCAATGAAATGATGAAAATGAATCATGCAACCTACAGCCCGTCAGAGGGAACATATGGTTCTCAAGCTAAAATACAGTGCTCAAGTTGGAAAATGCCCCAATCTCAGTACAGTGAGCACAGGCCTCTGGGGGCGAAAAAATCAATCACATCAAT